CTCGCTCGCTCTCTTGCTCGCTCGCTCTCTTGCTCGCTCGCTCTCTTGCTCGCTCGCTCTCTTGCTCGCTCGCTCTCTCTCGCGCTCGCTCTCTCACGTTCTGTCTCTCTGCGCCTGTGAAATTAACATTACAAATCTTACAGATCAGTTTTCCAAATGTTCAAGTGGCAATATGTGTTTACGCGGTGGAGATAAGCAATGTGTATGTTTTTAGGTTTTGAACTTGAGGCTTCTTTTAAGTTTCACTCATTTGGCTGAAAAAAATATTTTATGTTTTAGGATTATTCACAAGATATCCAACAAGGAATTCCTGAGAAGCAAGTAGAGAGCAGGCTGCTAACACTTCCCTTGATTGTGTCAGTTATTAATCTCGTGATGCCCTACGTTTACAATCTAATTGGGTTACTGGAAAAATATGATTTCCCACAGCAACAGATCTATGTTTCCATTACCAGGTAGGAGAAACTTTACTCAAGTCTTAAATCGAAAAACTCTGTCCAAAGAACTTGCATCATCTTTTATTTTTGCTTTGTGTGCAAATTATTTATTCCAATGAAAGGACAAGGTTTTGATGCTGGATTGTTAAAAATAACACAGGTTATGAGCAGTAAGAACTAAGAGCTTGTAACAGGGTCGAGGAGCCCTCTTATGATGCAGTGGTAGTGTCCCTAACCCTGGATTGGGAAACCTGGATTCAAGTCCCACCTACTCCAGCAGTGTGTAATAACAGCTCTGAACAAGTTGGTTAGAAATATAGATAAAATTTAAAAGAGATAATAGGGTGTAGAGCTGTTGTAACACAGTGGTGGTGTCCCTATCTCTGAACTAGGAGGCCTGGCTTTACATTCACGTAAATTCCTTACAAAATCGCTGAACAGGTTGATCAGGAAATGTCTAACAGCATATAATGATGTGTCTGAGCAGCTGATTGAAAACATTTACAAAGAATTCTTGTGGTGCAGAGATAGTTTCCCTGTCCATTGTGTTGCCATTACCCACGTAATGACGATAACAACCGAAGATCAACAGATGTTCCCAAATTTATATTTTGCCAATGCTCTCTGATATGAAATAGCATTTTGACACTTTGTCAACACTACAATGTTGAATTGATTTTCCAGCATTCACAAGAGAAAGAAGGGGTAATAAATTAGATCCCAAAAGTAAGCTTTCAAGTCCAGTCAAAACACTTGGGTTACCATTAGTTGTAGGAGCAGAGTTAAGCCTTTTGGCCCATTGAGTCTGTTCCACCATTCGATCGTGGCTAATATATTTCTCAATTCCATTCTACTACCTCCTCTATTTAACCTTTTTAACCCTTACCAATCAAGAATCAATCTGTTTCTCTCTAAAATACACTCAATGACTTGGTCTCCACAACCTTCTGTGACAATGAGTTCCACAGATTCACCACTCTCTGATTGAAGAAGTTCCTCCTCATCTCAGTTCTAAAGGGTCATCCCTTCACTCTGAGGCTGTGCACTTGGGTCCTAGTCTCTCCTACGAGTGGAAACATCTTCTCCATGTCTGCTGTATCCAGGCCTCTCTGTAATCTGTAAGTTTCAATCAGAATCCCCCTTCATACTTCTAAACTCCACTGAGTACAGACCCAGAGTCCTCAACCGCTCCATATATGACAAGGCCTTCATTTCTAGGATCATTCTTGTGAACCTTCTCTGGACCCTGTCCAATATCAGTACAGTCTTCCTTAGATACAGGGCCAAACCACTCTCAATATTCCAACTGCAGTCTGACTAGAGCCTCATATAGCCTCAACAGTAAATCCCTGTTCTTGTATTCTAGCCCTCTTAAAATGAATACTTACGTTGCATTTGCCTTCCTAGCTGCTAATTGAACCTGCCTGTTAACCTTAAGAGAATCCTGAACTAGGTCTCCTAACTCCCTTTATGCTTCAGATTTCCAAAGCCTTTCCCCATTTAGAAAATAATCTATGCCTGTATTCTTACCACCAACATGCATCGCCCCACACTTTTCCACATTGTATTCCAAGTCCTTCTGCAGCCATCCCGCATCTTCAACACCACCTGTCCCTCCACCTATTTTCGTGTCATCTACAAACTTAGCAACATTGCCCTCGGTTCCTTCATCCACGTTATTTTACTGTATGACATGAATAGTTGTGATCCAAACATGGAACCCCTGCAGAACTCCACTAGTCACTGGCTGCCATCCTAAAAAAAAAACCCTTTATCCCCAGTCTCTACCTTCTGCCAGTCATCCAATCCTCTATATGTGCCAGTACCTTGTCCCTAACACTATAAGCTCTTGCCTTATTTAGCACCCTCCTGTATGACACCTTTATTGAAGGTATTCTAGAAATTCAAATGGATCACGTCCACTGGCTCTCCTTTGACTAACTTGTTCGTTACCTCCTCAAGGAATTCTGACAGATTTTATGAACCTCGATAAGATCACTTCTCAGCCTCCAAAACTCCAGGGAAAATAGCCCCAGCCTGTTCAGCCTCTCCTGGCAACCTCCTTGTAAATCTTTTCTGAACCCTTTTCCAGTTTATCAATATCCTTCCTAAAGCAGGGAGACCAGAATTGAACACAGTATTCCAAAAGTGGCCTCACTAATGTCCTGTACAGCTGCAATGTGACATCCCAGCTCCTATACTCAATGCACTAACCAATGAAGGAAAGTGTACCAAATGCCTTCTTCACCACCCTGTCCATTTGCAACTCCACTTTGAGGGAACTATGAACCTGTACTCCTCAATTCTGGTCTTCCCGCTTTAGGAAGGATATGGTTAAACTGGAAAAGGGTTCAGAAAATATTTACAAGGATGTTGCCAGGAGGGTTTGAGCTATAGGGAGAGGCTGAATAGGCTGGGACTATTTTCCCTGGAATTTTGAAGGCTGAGGAGTGATCTTATCGAGGTTCATAAAATCTGTCAGAATTCTTTGAGGAGGTAATGAACAAGTTAGTCACAGATCACATCCACTGGCTCTCCTATTTCCCCAGGACGTTACCATTAGCTGTAGAAGTCTTGCCCTGGTTTGCCTTACCAGAATGCAACATCTCACATTTATCTAAATTAAACTGCATTTGCCACTCCTTGGCCCATTGGCTCATCTGATCAAGTTGTACTCTGAGATAATCTTCTTCACTGTCCATTACACCACCTACTTTGGTGTCACCTGCAAACTTACTAACCATACCTCCTCAATTCATATCCAGATCATTTACATAAATGATAAAAAAAGGCAGTGGACCCAGATCCTTGTGGCACACTGCTGGCCAGAGGCCTCCAGTCTAAAAAGTAACCCTTTACCACCGTCCACCATCTCCTGCCTTCACGATTGGCCTGGATTCCATGTGCAACCTTACTAACCAGTTTACCATGCAGAACCTTGTCAAATGCTTTGCTGAAGTCCGTACAGACTACTGTTCTGCCTTCTTCAATGTTCTTTGTCACCTCTACAAAAATCTCAATTAAGTTTGTGAGACATGATTTCCCACGCAAAAAGCCACGTTGACTATCCCTAATCAGTTCTTGCCTTTCCAAATGGATGTTAATCCTGCCCCTTTGGATCGCCTCCAACAATTTACCTTACCACCGACGTAAAGGTCACTGATCTATAGTTCCCTGGCTTTTCCTTGCAGCCTTTCTTAAATAATGGTACCACATTAGCCAACCTCCAGTCTTCTGGCACCTCCCCTGCAGCTGTCAATGATAGAAATCTCTCAGCAAGGGGTGCCGCAAACTCTTCCCTAGCTTCCCACAAAGTTTCAGGAAATACCTGATCAGGTCCCAGGAATTTATCTACTTTTAACACCTCCAGCACCACCTCTGCTGTAAAATGGACTCTTTTCAAGACATCACTATTTATTTCCCCAAGTTCCCCAGCTTTCATGTCGTTCTCCACTGTAAATACTGACCCAAAATAATTGTTTAGTATCTCTCCTATCTCTTGTGGTCCCACACAAAGACAGCCTCGTTGATCTTTGATCTCTCCCTATTTACTTTTTTTGCCTTTAATGTACTTAGGGAATCTCTTTGGATTCTCCTTAACTCTATTTTTCAAAGCTATCTTATGTCCTCTTTTTGCCCTTCTAATTTCCTGCTTGTGTGTACTCCTACAGCCCTTATACTTCTCTAGAAATTCACTTGATCCCAGCTGTCTGTACCTGACATAAGTTGTAAGTACATTGGCATGATCAGAAGGTAGTCACTTATCACATGACAGCAATGAATTTTAAAATGTTTCTAAAATGCTCCATGGCATTAACCTACAGGAGGGATTTCCTGAAAATTAGATCACTGTATGACATTTAAGTCAGAAGGTACATTAAGTGTTAACCCTTGGTTCATAGAAATCCCACAGTGTAGAAAGAGGCCATTCAGATAGTGACCCAAGGGTGGAATTGAACCCAAGTCCCTGGTGTTGTGAGGTAGCAGTGCTAACCATGGAGCCACTGTGTTGCCCAATGTGGGTGTAGAAGATTCGAGATTTTGAGGCCCATTCCAGAGACCTGAGCACATAATCTAGGCTGTAGCTTGTGTGAAAAGTGACAGTACATTGCTTGCAGAAGGTGACGATGTTCAGGCGAGATATTAAATAGGGAACACTGACAATCACGTGGTGCATGTTAAAGATGTCAATATTCCAATAAAGTGTGGGGAAGTTCTCTTCATCCCGATCAACATTTAATCCTAAACCAATATTATCTAGTCACTTAACCCATAGTTATTTGTAGAATACTGCAGTGTGCAAATCGATGCTCAAAAAATTCAAGGTTATCTATTTCTTCCAAAAGACTAAACTTCCTGAAACAGTTGTGAAATTAGTTAAATGTAGTTGAAATTGGTAATTAAACTGCCATGTAGAAATGTTATGTAGAACAGCACGCAACGGTCACTTCAGTATTTAAGGACCCAAAACCAAATTCAGAACAAGCATTAAATCATTTTGTGTGAACTTTGTGTAAAACAGAAAATTCACTCTGTTCAAGCTGGCAAATCCAGACTGTTTTACCTTGTGTAGACACAGTACGGGGAGGTGATGGCCTGGAGGTTTATTGCTAAATTGTTAATCCAGAGACTCGGACAATATTCAGGGGACCTGGGTATGAATCCTGCCACAGCAGTTGGTGGAATTTGAATTCAATTTTAAAATATCTGAATTAAGAGTCTAGTGATGACCATGAATCCATCGTTAGAAAAAACTCATTTGGTTCACTGATAACAAAGTGTGGAGCTGGAGAAACACAGCAGGCCAGGCAGCTTCGGAGGAACAAGAAAGCTTTCCTGGCCTGCTGTGTTCTTCCAGCTCCACACTTTGTTGTCTCTGACTCTAGCATCTGCAGTTCTTGCTATCTCATTTGGTTCACTAAAGTCTTTTAGGGAGGGAAACTGCCATCCTTACCTGGTCTAGACTACATGTGACTCCAGACCCACAGCAATATGGATGAATCTTAACTACCCTCTGGGCAATTAGGGATGGCCAATAAATGTTGGCTTAGCCCACAATAATTAGAAAAAAGAGGAGTCTGCTGTATTTCCATTGTGCCTGCTGGATGTGTATATCTTCTTCATGATGTTGTTGTGATCTTGTTTTCATATAGAAATCTGCTTTTGAAGTTAGCCATTTTAGGACCACTTTGCTTCCACTGGATGGGAAGTAAATTAAAAGCAACAGCAGAAATATCAGTAAGTAAAACAATCGGGTATGATTTAAACCAAAATAATACTGAGGCTTCTACGGAATCTATTCACAATGTTTGAATATTTTTGACAGAGGGCTGGATGTTACCTGATCCTGTTGGGCAGGTTTGTCACTGGGACAACAAGGTGGGAGAGCGAGCATGTAAAGAATGTGAGTGGGTTGGTTCACCACTCTCCTGCCCTGCCCTGAGTTCACCCGCACAATTAATTTAATTTATTTACTTGTCTGTGCAAAGTGGGCTGGCAGCCGATTACAACACCTGCCCACTATGCACAGACAAACATTTTTTAAGATCAGTTTTGTTTGTTAACAATTGACCTCTGTAATATGTTACCCACACCCTAATGTGGTTGGTGTGCCAGGTAGACAAGAATAGGGAAATTGTTTATTAAAGGCCTAGGAGGGTAAAGCCTGCAGGGAGGATGCCTGTGCTTGTTGGGTGCATCACATCCTCCTCCAAGGTTCCATGCTGATTTCCTTCCACACTGTATGCCCTCTGAAACAGCCCCACCATCACTAACACCTCCCCCCTCACACTCTCACTCACACCCATACCCAGACCCACCTACCCTCTGGGATCCTGTCTTGTCCCGGAGGCCTAGGACCTCTTGTTTTTGGCAGCCATGACATGTGTGCATTCTCCTTCCTGTTGCTACTGGAACTGCTAGCCAAATGAGTTGGTTGGCACCTCCTGAAGTTGAGGCTTCTTCCCACCTGAGCAAGTCCCACTGTTAATTCATTTAGGCCATTAGCCCACAGTGGGCTGTGGGGACAAACCTATTCCGTTTTTGTTGGCTTCCATCCATGGAGGAAGGGGTTGGGGAAGCAGTCTGCCACCCAGTGTCATTATTGAACATTGTTATCCTTACTTCAGCTTTAAGAGTACACAAGTTACTCGTATGATCATTTTAGACATCAAGATGTCATATTCTTTGGAACCTGTTGTATTTTTTCAATCATCACAAATCTGCTTTATTTGTAGACCATAGAATAGCACAATTTTTAACTTGAGCCACACGTTAAAATGTGGATGTCTTTTTAATTGTTGGTGGTTTTTAAACCGTAATGTCTGTTCACCATTGTAATAAATCAGCTGCTTCTTTGAGGTAATGTTGCCCTGCTTTGTCTAATTCCTTCTAATTCCATCTAAACATTATTTAAAATGCTGTGAGGTTGAACAAAAATGCTGTTGTTGGAATGTTTTGATCTCCAAGGAGCATAGCACGTAGGAACATAGGGTTTATGAGCAGGAGTCAGCCATTTTGTCCTGCAAGCCTACTCAGCCATTCAATATGATTGTGGGTGTCCTGGCTTTGGCATCAAATACACTACCCAGAGGAAAGTAATGCTTTATAAAGGCTCAATTTGAAACATTACCAGGGTCCAGGTCCACTCTAACTATGCTTTTTCACATGAACCCCAAGACTTCCTGACAAAACCTATTTCGTAGAGGATGGTTCAGTGATTAATTTTACTTCTATCACATGAACATATAAATGAGGATCAGGAATTCTGAATTCTGACCAACCATCTGTAATATTAAGCAATTGAGCTTGGAATGTCTGATTTGTCATATTTAACATTTGAAGATTGGATACATATAGGACTTGCATTATGAATTTTGTGCTTATGTTGTGTGATATCAAACATTTAGCCATCCATCCCTTGTTTGTTTTTTGCCTCAGTGTTGGGAGACTTTCGTAGGGCAAGAAATATACCGTTTGCTGGTGGTAGATTTTATATTCATTATTTTGGATACAGTTTTCGGAGAATATGTCTGGAGGTGAGCATTAAATTCATGAGATTTGTTTTATCAATTAATAATTACATGTGCTGTTTTAACAATCTATGGACCATGCCAACTTTTAACAAATTGTGATACCCAATTTAGAACAAGAGACTCATAAAGATGCTAAGAGTTTTATGTTTACTGTTTTAATTTCTTACCTTTCACTTTGATATAGTTAGATACCACTAACAATTATCATCACTAGCTCTGGTTCCTTTTAGTCATGTTGTTGGTTCACCTATGCTTCCTGATATTGCTGAGTTTGTACCATTTCAAAGCAAAACTCTAATGTTTCACCCAGTTTAGACAAACATTGAAAATAGATCATTAAGTTAACAAGGTGTAGAGCTGGATGAACACAGCAGGCCGAGCAGGAAGGCTGACGTTTCGGGCCTAGACCCTTCTTCAGAAATGCTGAAGATGGGTCTAGGCCCGAAACATCAGCCTTCCTGCTCCTCTGATGCTGCTTGTTCATCCAGCTCTGCACCTTGTTATCTCTGATTCTCCAGCATCTGCAGTTCCTACTATCTCTAGATCATTAAGTGTTATTTTATACAGTGAAATCTAAGTTATTGCTCCCCTCTAAGCTACCAAACCCTTCACAGCCACAGTCCTGCTGCTCCTAAGAAAGTAGCCTATCTAATCTATACAAAAGCAAAACACTGCAGCTGCTGGAAATCTGACATATGACAACTAGAAATATTCAGCAGGTCTGGTAGTGTTTGTGGAGAAAGGAACAGTGTTACCTTTTTGGTACTGTTCCAATGAAAGATTACAGAACTGAAATGTTAACTTTGTTTTTCTCTCTCTGCGGATGTTTCTAGTTTCCAGCCTCTTCCTATCCTGATTTTTAGGTATCAGAGTGAAAGCTGAGTTTTACCTCCTCTTCTTCACTCCCAAGGGGTGCGAAGAGTGTTGCTGTGGACTTGGCTGTATGATTCATTCTGGTTAGATCGATGAACTCTGGACCTCACTGGAGTAAGCCTCGAACTTGATTTCCACTATACCACAATGCTTTGTACTTGTACTGCAAAGCATGCTGCTTCCTTCAACAATTGAGCATGTTAAAAAGATACATTAATGGTTACAGGAATATGAGACAAACCTTTGGCCTGGTTAGCTGCTAGCCTCCTCTCTGATTACTGGAAGTAACTTGTCAAAGAATCCTGGGCAGTCCTGGAGACTCTGAGACAACAAGGTGTAGAGCTGGATGAACACAGCAGGCCAAGCAGCAGCATAGGAGCGGTAAGGCTGACGTTTCGGGCCTAGACCCTTCTTCAGAAATGCAGATTCATCCTACTATCCCCAGTCCTGGAGACTGACTTGAAGAGTCAATTACCAATCAGCATTCTGTCCATTCTCATTTGTTGATTGAGCTTTTTACGTAGAAGTGAGAGCAGTTCTGTAAGATGAGAGAGTCAGCTACCAAAGTATTGTAACCACTGTTTCTCCTTCCTTCACTATCCAGGGTCATTTGCATTAAACTGCTGAAAAGGAAAAGAAAGCCTGAGTTTGACATTGCCAGAAATGTGTTGGATTTGATCTTTGGACAGACACTCACATGGTAATAACATGTTTGATCAGGCTACATTTGATGTTGAACCATTAACAGCACCACCTGCTGGGAAACTTCACCAGTACCATCACAACAGTATCCTCCCCATTGCCCAGAATGTGCAATCTCACGTTAGCACTGGATTGGATTTGACTGCGATGTTCCCTACATACAAATACGTGAGGAATCACTCACTCACTGGCTAGGTTTGCAAAGAAAGCATGGTTACTTTGGCAACGTATTAACTGGCTGCTAGTTCTATGCAGCTGTAATGGTGAAGGATTTATGCTTAAGAAGGGAAAAGGTCAGGGTGGGGGGAGAGAGAAAGAGAGAGAGAGAGAGAGAGAGACGATGCAACAGAATCATGATGACCTTCATTTAATTCATTACTATCTATCATTACTATCTATAGGTTGGGTCTCGTGTTTGCACCACTGCTGCCTGCAATTCAAATGATCAAATTTATTGTTGTCTTCTATATTAAAAAGGTAATTATCACATTTATGAAATGACTGAAAATTATAGGATATAAGGGAAAGAGCTTAGTTCATTTTAGAAATTGTCTTTTTCTTTGAATTCATTTTGACTCCAAGTCTTTTAGTTAAGTTAGGATAAGATTTAATGTTTATCCTTCATAAGCAGAATAGGTATCATTGTTGACAGCTTTTGTACATATTTTGAGTACATGTACTCTTCAGGTTGCTTGCAAACCAGAACTTGTCCAGCTGTTACTGAATGTTCAGTGATGTATTTGATCTGTGAAGAATGATCAGTACAGTCCACCAGTTATCCATAATAAAGCTGTTGGGTCTTTTTCAGCTCAGCTTAATGAAGAACTGTCAACCTCCACACAAACTCTGGCGAGCATCTCATATGATGACTATCTTTATTAGTCTGCTGTGTTTCCCATCATTCCTTGGAGCCACTGTTGTTTATTCTTACACCATGTGGTAGTAAGTATCTGCATAGTTAATTGCATAGCCAGATTCTTGTGAAAGTGAGGATACAGCAGAGTACAGAAAGCTTGTTTTGGTTCTTGCTGCTGGTCACCTATATACATTCTGGAACTAAATTTTTAATGGAGTTAGGAAGATTCTAGTGCTGCCAGCACTATGATGTGTCTGCTAGCATGTTAGGTGAAGTTTAATTTCTAAACTAACCAATTGCAAGCGTTGTCCAATAAGTTTTACAAAATGGACATTTTCCATGATGAATTACAGAACTGCAAATGTCAGGATGGATGTTGGCGGTGTCATGGTAATGTTGCTGGACGAGTAATCCGGAGGCCCAGGTTAATGAATGCAAAATCAGATCACAAAACTGATAAGAAAGACTGGAATAAAAAGTAGTATTAGTGAACATGCTATCAGTTGTTGTAATGGTTCAGTAATGTCGTTTTCTTGAAGGAAATCTGCAGTCCCTTGCCTTGTCTGGCCTATATGTGACTGTCAGATCTGCAGTAATTTGGTTGACTTTCAATTGCCCTCTGAAATAGCCTAACAAACTGTTCAATCCAAAGGCAACCTGGGAATGGCAAAAAATGCTGGCCTTGCTGGTGATAGACACATTGTAGAATAAACGTTCTGTTAACTTGATGCTTCAATACAGTAAGGCAGAAGGTGGTGGCTATACTGTTAAAATATTTGCAGTTATTGTACCTGTCTTTATTATATATAGGTCATAATTTAAAGGCTACTTATCAACCGGTTGAAGATATCAATGTAAAAACCTCACTTGTCCAGCCATTTATCTGCTCAATTTAACAATCAGGAATTATAAATAAGAAGAAGCTCCCTGGAAGAATCCCTATCAGCACCCTTTTCCGCTCATACAATGTGAACCAAAAGTGATTCCAATTTCAAGTAATAATGATTGTTCAAATGGATTTGACTGTAAATATGCAATCATTATGCAATTTAGAATAATGTACAGTGTATAGTGGCTGAGCCAAATGCCATCTCCCACTTTTCATATTCTTTTGCTATTTACTGTATTGAATTTTCACATTACTAAATTTATTGTCTGCTTTTATTTTAAATTAGCTTAAAGCCATCACTATCATGTGGCCCCTTCCGAACACTGGGCGCTATGTGTGATTCTGTCACAATTTGGGTTCAAAAACTGGATGAAAATGGTCCTAAATTTTTTAAGTATTCATGGATCTTAGTGAGAAATCCTTTCATCTTCTTCTTGGCATCAGGCATCCTACTGTAAGTTTTCAATTATTTTAATAAATTCTCATTTCTAAGATGTTTCTCTGTATTCTACAATAACTATAAAAATTGCTGATAAAGCTCTAAAAATGTTGAAGAGGGCTGATGACTTGATAAGCATCTATCCCTATTGTTTAAAATATTGATATTGCCTTATCAATATTGCCTGGTCAAAAAAACACAAATAGCTTTAAATGCTGATGCTTTCATTAGTGGAAACATTGTATATTTTCTTTGTGCAACATATTCCAAAGAGAATCTTAAAGTAATATTTATTTTCGATATTTACCAGTCTCCTTAAGCTGTCTTTCAATGGGCTAGATGTATTTTTCCATGGAAATGGCTTCTCTCAACAAGATTCAGGAACATTTCTTCCTTGGGTTTACTGTACAAAAGAATAGGGAGAAAATTCTATGATTTGCAGTAATGCCAACACCATCAATCACAAATCAATGGTTTGTATTTAAATCACATTACTTTTTCAAACAGATTGGTCTTCTTTAACTGCTAAAAAGTCAGTCTTTTACATATACAAGAGAGCCTTTACAAAAGTGGTATCGCTGCAACTGAAAATACTTTACAAAAAATATTTTTAAAATTCCAAGTGGAATCACCTTGTTGTTATGCATGACACTTTTAAGGTTACGATAACATTGTCTGTATTGATAGTGGACAATGGTGATATTTAATTTCTCTGTTTCCTCTGGTTTTGTAGTTTAACACTACTGACTGGTTCCAAGCCAAGTTAAACCCTAAAATCCTTGTAGATATTGCTGTAATTGAGCTATTAGCATGTTGAAATTGACAGCTTGCATCTTCTGAGACAGTTGTCCCCCATGCAGTTAAGTTGACAGGTTACAGCCGAATTTCTCACATTTTACTGGGATTTCAACAGCACCCAAACAAACACGTTTCAACCAAATTAATAACTCCCCTGCCCTGACCTCCCAGAAAGTTGACAATAGAAGAATCCATAGATACATGGTTGAATGTGAAATTTTATCAATGGAGAAAGTTTCTTGATACAGGGTGCTGCAAAACTGGAGAATTCACTTGCAGGGTTCTTCAGTAACCTTCTAGCATTTGAGCAAAGCTTGATAGCTTCATGAAGGAAATGAAAGCAAGGATATGGGAACAGGATGGATAATATGATTAGACCTATGTGTTTGCATGCAAGATAAACGTCAACTATAACTATTTGGAATGAATGACTGAATTGATGTGGTAACATCTGTGTATTTCTAAAGGTTGTGAAAGAAAATGTTATTTAGGAATGTTAGCAAATCAGTGATTCATCCACAGGGTAAAGAAAATAAACTATGGTAAGGACACATTTTGGTAAAATGTATAAATACCTAAATTTCTCAGATCTGTTATATTTTGTACGGCATACATCGGGTTATCCTCCCAAAGCTGGGGATAAATAAATTGAACAGTTCATGGGCTTTATGACTTTTAAGCTCTCCTCAGAGTGAATACCATGAAAAAAATTAGACTGAAACCAAAAGAAGATTGTGGTTTCTGATTATTGCAACAGGGAAAAACTAAAGATGACATATTCAGTTTATTGTTATATGAGATTAAAGTACAGTCCTGTGATTTTGTTTAACATCAGCTTTCTTTGATTTTGTTTAACATTAGCTTTCTAATTTTCTCTTCCAGAGTAGTGATTTATTTCCATTGCCAAGTTGTGGATGGTCAAAGGAAGATAATTAAGTTATTAAATGAACAAATTGCGAATGTAAGTATCTGAATTTGTGTTTCATGTACGTTTCTTTGTGTTCCTTACCTTTATAAATGTGAACAATCTACCTCTCCTTAAAGTGTGTTCTTTTATCTGGAGTGAATATAGTGAACTCCAAGGTGGTGGCAAAGACCCTGTGTGTGCACAAATGGTGACATCACATCACTGTGACAGAGCCTTTCTCAACGTGCATGTGCTTGGATTATTTGTCGTTTACCGTGGTGGATAGCCATGCTCAGGCACAATGCCCAGCAGTGGTTAGAGCACGTGCAGTGTGAGCTCTGGCAGTGAATGGTCACTTGTTTGTCAGATGTGTAATCGGTGAGGTTTTAGCCAGGCAGAGGGTTGAGCCAGCTCTGGAAATGTGCTGCTACTGCTAACACAAGACAGGAACAGATTTCAGTTTCTGCTTCCCCCTGCCCTCGCAGCATGCTCAGAGGAGCTGCTGAGACTGGCAAAAGGTTATAAGTGGCTGGTTCATGCTGGAAGCATAATCATTCACCAGATTTGTTTCTGATATCTGCTGCTCTGTCACTTTGCAAGAGATATGGCTCTGCCCATGTGTTTCTGTTCTTGTGCAGTCATTGTGCGATCTAACAGTGGTGTTAACAACAAATGCATTCTTATTTATTTGGTTTGGATGAAAGCGCAAATCCAAAATTTTCTGTAAGTGAACACACAAGGCTCGTAATAAATTCCTGTACAAATCATTTAAATGGACTTGTTGACATTGCTGGGTCAGTGAAAATGGGGAGAAAGAATTTGATAAGAAGTTGCTCAACATTTGTACAATACATTTTAATGTCCTGTTCAGTTTCTTCACATTGAAATTTTGAATTAAAAGATGTAGAAAGACTATACAAAATGGAACGTGTATGATTTGATGTTGTGGAAATGTCGTTCTCCTTTCAGATGATTTGTTAGGCCGTTTATACCTTTATGTCTGCTGGTTTATTTAAAAGCACTAACTGTGCACTTCCACTCTCCCAATCTTTCCTTTGAGCCCTGCATGCTTGTTGTTCCCAAGAGCATACGCAATTCCCTTTTGAAAATTACAGTTGAACTATCTCCCACCACCCTTTCAGCCAGTCCTTTCCAGGGAATAACTCTCAGTTTTAAAATTAAATCTTCCTTTCCTCTCCACTCCATTCCTTTATCCAATTATCTGAAGTCTGTGTCCTCGGGTTCCTGCTTATGTGCTAGTGGAAACAGTGATTTACTCCACCAAACCTTAAATTTAAGCACTTCCATTAAATCTTACAACACCAAGTTAAATTATGTCTTCAATTGAAGGCATTTTAAAGATTTGTTTTCCTTAATAAATTGGTTATGGTGGTCAGTGTTTATTGTAAATGTAAATACTCACAGCCTTTGTAATAAAAATCAAGGAACTTTGTCATTAGATAACAAATTAAGTCTCTATTATTATACCCGACTTGAAAAGTTTTCAATTTGATCCCCAGTCCTTGTTGATCTCAGCCAGAATTTACTAAGAGCACTTTTGCACAAGTAACTGATATTTACCAGATCCTTACTTAATTTATAACATACCATGTTGACGCATAATGAACCAATTTCTTTTTGGTGCAGGAGGGAGATGACAAGAAGTTTCTTATTGATAAACTCCAAGACTTCAACAGAGAAAAATTTAAATTTCAAAAGAAGAGACGGACACAAAGGGAAGATGAGGTAACTAGATTTGCTTTCTACATACATTGCAGAGTTATGGTTGGTTCTTTTTGACTTTGCTTATCATGCTGTATGCACCCTGCTCCGTGTCCCAACAATTTATTTTCTACATTTCAACAGTGATTTACATTTCAAAAGTGACTGTAAAGGGCACTGGAAAGTGCCAGAAAACGTTCAGAATAAATTAATTAGAGAGGAGGTGATGTGCAAGTTAGTTTAATTGGATTAATTTTCAACTACGCTGTTGAGACCAACTACTATAGGAAGGGGATTTCCCTCATCTTGGATAAGTGGCACAATGTTCATTCCACTGAAATGAAAGCTGATGCCACCAATGACCCAGTTATCCATTAGGGGAGGTTTTTATCCCAACAGAATTTGATTCAGAGGTAGTAAGAACTGCTGATGCTGGAGAATCTGAGATAACAAGGTGTAGAGCTGGATGAACACAGCAGGCCAAGCAGCATCAGGGGAGCAGGAAAGCTGATGTTTCGGGTCTAGACCCTTCAGAAAATGAATTTGATTCCTTGTCTGAAAGATAAAAATGAAAGAGCTTTCTGATTGATGTGCTAAAAACCTTTACATAATAACACTTTGCCTAACAGCAACTAGTAATTCTGATAGTTAATGAACAATACTTGGTTTGGAAATTGCTGGTTTTTTAATTGTATTGCAGTTCATTTCTGTATCTGTGTCTTTTGAATAGGTTTATCCTGACAACTACTAGAAGGAAAGAAGATATCATGTTTCCTCTGGTTGTGTTGACAGAGCCAACAAGACCAAAATAGTGAAGCAGCTGATATGACTTGACTCTGAATTATTAAGAGATGCCTGGAATTGTATTTTTTTTTGTTGAGTTATTTGGCTGTCTGCACTTTAAGTTGTAAAGATGCAGCATGTTAAACAAAACTGGAGTCACTGCAGCAACACCATATTGTGAATATGATATCCACTTCATTAGCACCTTTCAATATTTCAAACTGATTTTTACTTTGTCACATTTTGCTTTGTTGGATTTGAATTTTCTGTAAATTAGCTTCCAGGTTTGACTTGCGTTCTTTCCTGGACCCAAAATCAGTCAGAGAGGAAATTGGTTGCATCTCCTTGGGAGTTTCCATGATGAATCGCTTTACAAATTGTGCAATTGGTTATTCCCTTGTTGACAGAAGTACAGTACTGCTTATATTTCCCTCTAAGAGCATTAGTTGTACTGTTGATGTCTCCAGCTTGTGGTAATCCATCTTGTAGTGGAATTATGCAGCAGCAAGTATTTACACATCAATGTGTCACCCAAACATAAAGTGCAAAAAGACGGTATAACAATTATTGGTGAATTTAAAAGTTCTGACTTTCGTATTTATAATGTGGATGGCAATTCACTTAACAGTAGCCTAAAACAACCTCTAGCTTTTCAAAGTAACATGCAGCATTAAGAGTTCATGTAACTTCCTCAAGTATAATTTTGTTGCATTTGTAATTACAGATGTAAGTATTGTATGCTGACTTCAGAGTGACCAAAAACAAAAGAGGTGTTGCACTGACAGATTTTTAAAAACATTTTTAGTCTACAGTAAATGGAGCAAATTAGTTGCTCATGCTTTTGTTCCTTAAAATTCAGAACCAAACTTTAGCATGTCTAAAGCCCCACTTTATAGTATGTGGAGACTAGGCTAACTTATCTGGGAAATATCTCCACAGAAGTCTGTGAATGTTGTTACTTGAGCTGTTGAATGTCATATGAAAAGTCATCAGAAATTCTCTTCGTATTCACTGAAAGAAAAGAAATGCTCTTTTCACAGGGCTGCAACTCAGATATGTAATAACCCCTCAGTTTAGGAACTTACAGGTACTTAAGCTTTTTTTATTTTCAAGTACTGATCCATCAACTTTAGGTGAACTGTTGACTTTCTGAGCCAGGGAGTGAAAATGTTTGGTTTATTTATAATGTATTGTTATAATCAGATTAGGAAGGGTGACCTGATTCCATGTCCCACTCCTCTGTTGGTCACAGCAATGTTCTTAAAGCTAAGAAGAGTGGTCATATTGCTAATTATTCATATCAGGTTATATATAGCTCAATATAGTCAAGTCAGCCAAGTTCTTAAGTAGCAAATACAGAACTAATTTATTACAAATAAAACCTACTTGAGCAAATGCATATAACTACCCTGTTTGAAAACTAACACACATGCATATATTCAAGTCTGGGGAAGAAAAAAGAACACTGTAAAGTGTTATTTTAAAAGTACTTGGCCAAGTGACCGATAACGTCACAAAAAAGATGCACAGTTTATCACAGATGTTGGTTTGAGACCAAAGTCACTTTTTACACATGCAGTTGGTACTGGGATTTCTTCCTGTATCAGTTTTGGCTGGATGTATTCAATTTTTCATGGAGACAGCAGGGATAGTTTCATGACCTCTCCTTTTGGGAATCCTCTGCTTGAGGTAAAGAGGTTTTCCAATGGATTTTCAACCTTCACACTTTTGAAATGGATTTTAGAGGAAATAGAGAAGGCCAAAGCTATTACCATGAAGCAAGTTGTCTAAGGTTGTCAAATCTAATCTCTACCTTCATCCACAAAATGGTTCATATGACCTCTCTTAAAATGGCATCTCCAAACAAGCAGGTTGTCCACTTTGCAAATACATTATTGTTGCTATTGCACTCAGTCTCCCTTTGATTTGCAATGTGCTGCTTATAAAATGGCCAAGACTCGAGTATTTTTCTTTTATTCATTCATGGAATTGGAGCATTGCTGGCTAGACCAGCATTTATTGTCCATTTCTAATTACCCAGAGGGCAGTTAAGAGTCAACTACATTACTGTGGGTTTGAAGTCACATGTAGGCCAAACCAAGTAAGGATAGCAGTTCCCTTCCCTAAAGGACATTAGTGAACAAGAAATGTTTTTCCGACAATCGATAATGGATTCATGCTTATCTTTAGACTTTTAATTCAGATTTTTTTTATTGAATTCAAATTCCACTATCTGCCATGGCGGGATTCAGACCTAGGTGCCCAGAACATTACCTGGCTGTCTGGATTCACAGTCCAGCAATAATACCACAAGGCTATCACCTCCCCTATTTGTCCAGTCAATGATGTTCTGAATTAATACTTCAGATATACCTTCATGATAGTATCATGATCTGTTCTGTGTTGTAAATACTGTGCTGTAGCACACTTCAGAAATTGGATTTTGTGATACTTTTGTCTTTAATGTGTACTTTGATTGTAGCCCAATGATCTGTCCTTGGCCTCTTAACTGTTTCTCAGCCACAGACAGCCCCTCAGTGACATCCACTGAAAGCAGAGTGCGCTTCCATGAATATGCTGACGTCACCCAGCTCTACCTCACTGCCACCTTTTTCGACCCTTTCACTATCTCTCAACTGTCCGTCTGCCTGTCCGACATCTAGTGCGAGATGAGCCAAACTTGTCTGCAGCTAAATATTGAGAAGCAGTAACCATTGTCTTCAGTCCCTATCATAAATTTTGTTCCCTAGCCACTGACTTCATCCTCTCCTGAGTGTCTGTTGGGGCTCGAATCTGATTGTTTGCAGCCTTGGTGACCTTTGACACTGACACTATCTTCCTACCACATATCAGTGCCACCACTATGATTAATTACTTCCACCACTGTAATATAGCGCAATTCCTACGTGTCTCAGCCTATTGTTTCCAAAATTCACATCCAGTCATTATTATTTCTATTCTAGACTAAAGTCTCACTTGCCAATTTTCCTATCTCATTGACCTACTTTAGTAACCAGTTAAGTAATATCTCAGTTTGAAAATTCTCACCCTTGCATTCAGATCCCTACATATTCTCATCCGCCTATCTCTCTATTTCCTCCAGCCCTAAAACCCTCGGAGTTCTCCGTACTTAGCTAATTCTGAACTCCTGAGCATTCCTGATTTCAGTTGCTGTGCAATTGGTGGCCATGCATTTAGTATTCAAAGCTTTAAACTTAAATTCTCTCACTAAACTCCTCGCCTCACTACCTATCTTTGTTCTGACAAGACCTGCTCTAAAACCTACCTGTTTGACTTGTTTACAGTCATCCATTATAACATCTCCTTACTTGGCTTTGACGATGTTGCAAAAAGGAGACAAAAAGTTGAAACGTTTTTGTTTTGACTTGTCAGAAATAAGATGCAAGAAACTTAGTAGCCAATGTGGGAGATATCCATTAGCTCACCATTAAGTGGGAAGTGACATTCATCTGAAAAGCTAATTCTCACTTGTACTAGGTTCAGATAATTCCTTCTTATGAAACTTAGTGTGGAATTATTTTGGATCATGTAGTTAATGCTCTTAGTTTCAATAGAATGTAAAACTGTCTGTTTTTACTATGTTTTTCTGTTTTATTTATATAAAAGATGAAATATAACTATTTTTGCTGTAGCATTTGTTATTGAATTATAACAATCTGAAATGTAACAATCTGTAAGATGAGGAATAAGGCTTCACACTTGCTAAGTGAGCCATGATTTTATTTAATACTAATTGTTTCACACGTTCAGCTGTTGCCAAATACCATGGTGTTCTATTGAATTCAATTTGTACACATTTGTATGATGAAAATGGTCTGAACTATTAAACCGTACTGAAACTTGAAAGTATGTATTAGTTTTGTGTATGAAATATTGGAAAAAATATGATATCTGCTTAAAAATGTTTTCCTTCCTCCAATGCCACTTCATCTTGCAGCAATAATAATTTTTGCAATAGTGACAGCAGCAGGATAGCTTGTTGGTTTTCTAATGTACTCTATGTAGAGCATGCTTTGTAATAAGTAACATAATCATCTGAGATGCATGCGGAATATAATGATAGGTACCACATAGATTATAATAACAAGGGAAATTACAAAGTTGGAGCCAAGATATTTTCTTTCTTTATTCTGTGTTCAATGAAATAATTTTCAATAATCCATAGCAATGTGTCAGAAATCTGCTAATTATGCAACAGCAAAATTTGCAGATTAAAGTTTTTGAAAAGATTTGTAGCTCGGGTTGTGGATGAGGTTGTAGACTTGTTCACCGAGCCGGTACGTTTGATCACAGACGTTTCATCACTCTGCTAGGTAATATCGTCAGCGAGCCTCCGGTGAAGCTTTGGTGTTCTGTCCCACTTGTTGTTTATATGTCTCAGTTTGCTGGGGTGCTTGGCATTACTTCCAGTTCTGTTTTTCAGTGGTTTGTATATCTGGTCCAGTTCAATGTGTTTGTTGATGGAGCTCTGGTTGGAATGCCAAAATTCCCTGACATGCCTCTGTTTGGCTTATGCTGTTATGGATCTGTTGTCCCAGTTGAATTTGTGTCCTTCTTTGTCCGTGTGTATCGAGACCAGTGAGAATGGTCATATCTCTTGCTGGCTAGTTGGTGTTCGTGTATACTTATTGTCAGTTTTCTTCCAGTGTGGCCTATGTAATGTTTCTCACAGTCCTTGCTTGGTATTTTGGATATTATGCTAGTTTTATTGGTTGTGAGTATGGGATCCTTTATGTTTGTCAGTAGCTGTTGCAGGATGATTGTTGGTTTGTAGCCCACTCTGTTAACGTGCAAAGATGGCCTTCAGTAATCTATAAATCCAGAAAATAGCACAGTATTACTATTCTAAAAACACTGCTCCAGACTAAGTTAGTACCTATGTTTTTATATTTTTAAAAGCTTAATCAAGAGACAGATCTCAATAAAAACATATTATCAGAAAAGAACCCCACTCTACACACTATATATGCAAAAAAAAGTAAGTTTACACTTTTAAGCCAGCAGTTTAACTGTTCCCCTGCTGTGAGCTCCCCCACACAGATTTCTCCAAGGTCAGCTGTGAATTTAAACAGAAGTTGCTGGAAAAGCTCAACAGATCTGGCAGCATCTGTGAAGAGAAATTCGAGTTAACGTTTTGCGTCTGGTGACCCTTCCTTAGAACCTTTCCAGCTGTGAATTTCGCTGCTTGTTAATTTTTCTTTGTCAAACTCCGATGCCCAGAGACACTTTGAAACCAAACAGCAAAGGCAGCAGCTGTGCAGATTACTGCTGGGTCGGACAGCAGTGCAGTTTCTTTCCCCATTTGATTCACTTCCCATGTGGTCACTGCCTTTGTTCTCTTCCTCCTTTTTAAAATGCCATTGTTTTGATCTTTTTGTTCCCCAAAGTTCCAAAGCAATGCAACAGCTTATAAAACAGTAGTTACTGCTTCTAGAAATCGAGGAAATCAGCTCCAACACTGAAAATACCTCAAAAAAAAAGAAAAAGTTCTTACAGCCACAATTTTCTCCTGTCCTCCATCTTGGATTACCCAGAATCCTCCTTGTATATTCTGTAGAAAGGAGCAAAAGCAAAAACTGGGGAAGAAAGTTAAATGAAGAACCTCTTCATGAGAGATAGGGGAAATTTTCTGATGATGTTGATTAAAACAAGATTGTGCTGCAAGAGTTGTTTTCTCAGTAATCTTTTCAGTGCAGGCCAGTATTTTTTGAACCACAATGAATTGACATGGCAGATCAGATATGCAACAGCTGGTTCCTGTTAGTCATGATCTTGCAGGTACACCGCACCAATACTGGCCTGAGCCTACAAGCAATTTATGGGCTAGAATATTTACAGAGAATGACATAGAATGTAGCTACTGTTCAATGAAAATGTTGATACTTGACTTGAGCTTCTTAATTTAACTCCATCTCATTCTTTTCTTCCTGATGTTTATTTAGTTTTTCCTTAAATACATTTTTACCGTTTCTCTCATCTGCTTCTAGTAGTAAATTCCCCATTCTTATCACTCTCTAGGGAAAGACATTTCTTCTGAATTTCCTACCAGATTGTTTAGACGATCAACTATCTTTATATCTATAATCCATAGTTTTGGTTCTTCACACAGAAGAAGCACCTTCCCTACATCTATCAAATCCTTTCATAAGTTTGAAGATCTCTCATCAAGTTATTCTTTAATGCCCTCCTTTCTATATTCCTCCAACATTCTGTCCATCTTTCCTGATGATAGTATTTCAGTTTTGTTAATTTCTGGGTAAATCATTTTTGTGCCTTTTTGAATGTCTTTATACTGTCATGGACAAAGGGGCAAAATAAGAGACCAGGGGATTTATTTCAGCACTTTTCCCCTTTTAAGCCCAAAACAGCAAAATATTGTTTGGTTTCCTCCTTTCTGTTTCAGTCCTGCCCATTACTGGGTAAAGTGTGTTCCTCATACCTTGGTTTTAGAATTCCAATTATCCTTTTAAACAAAGCCACAATAAATCCTTTAAGATGAAAACAAAGGCATTGTTAAGGTCAAAACTTGGGAGAATAACTTTGCTGCTACTTCCAACCAAACAAGTATTCAGGAAATTAAGGAGGACAGGAGTGGAGGTAAGTGATACAGAAGCCTCTGGAAATATAATCAAGTGATCAGTCCCAGTCATTTTTCTCTAGCTCAGCAAAAGTTTGCCCATTTTTTTAAAAGAGCAAAAGTTAAACAGGAAAATATAGATGAGATTACAGTTTTTTTTGGGTTTTGTCTTCATGCCCTCTGGCCATGATGATATCCCTAGAAAATGGAAACCAGAACTGTGCACAGTACTCCAAAAGCAGCCATAATAACCAACAAACAGGAGCTACAGCTGGCCATTCACCTGTTTGTCCACTCGACTATTGAATAAAATCATGGCTGACCCCCATCTCAACTTGGTGTTCCTGCACTATCCTTCACAAGCCCATGAAATCCTTAGAATGCAAACACTTATCAATCTCTTTGAGTATAGCCAAGGACAGAACATCCATAGTTCTTCAGGAGTAGAGCATTCAAGAGAGTTACTAGCCTCTCAGGAGAGATTTTCTTGTCATCTTAGTCCTAAGTGGCTGGATATCCTGTTCTACGATTGTGTTTAGTTCTATAATCTTACCAACATCTACTCATCCAAGCTCCTTTTACATGTTTAATTAGACCATCTCCCACTCTGCTAAACACTCAGGAATACTGTAAGAGCAAAATACTTCGGATACTGGAAATCTGAAATAATAATAGAAAGTCCTGTAGAAACTCAGCAGGTCTGACAGCTTCTGTGGCCAAGAGAAACAGCATTAACATTTTGAGTCCAAGATGACTCTCCTCAAAGAATATAGGCCTGGTCGTGTCAATTTATCCCACGAGGGCAACTCATCTCAGGAACCTACCTATTGAGTCTGCATTGTTCCTGCACTCTCCAAGGCAAGGAGAACAAAATTCTGTGCACTATTGACAATGTAGTCTCACCAGAATCGGTGCTGGGCCCACTATTGTTTGTCGTTTATGTAATTGATTTGGATGAGAATATAAGAGGCATGGTTAGTAAGTTTGCAGATGACACCAAAATTGGTGGTGTAGTGGACAGTGAATGTTGTCCAAGAGTGTAATGGGATCTTGATCTAAAGGGCCAATTGGCTGAGAAATGGAAGATGGAGCTTAATTTAGATATGTTTGAGGTATTGCATTTTGGTAAGGCAAACCAGGGCAGGACTTACACAGTTAATGGTAGGGCCCTGGGGAGTGTTGTCAAACAGAGACCGAGGGATGAAGGTACATAGCTCCTTCAAAGAGGTGTATTTCAAGCAAGTTGCCCGTACTCTTCAATAGATACAAGCCTATCTTATCCAACCTTTCCTTCTAAAACAATCCAGCATTCCAGGCACTAACCTAGTAAACCTTCTCTGAACTGCTTTCAACACATTTACTGCCTTCCACCAATAAGACCAATGCACATACTTCAGACCACCCTGTATAACTGAAGTAAGCATATTGGTTAGCTTAGTTGGCTAGATGGCTGGTCGCAATGTAGCATGATGCCAACAGTGAGGTCATTTCCCACACGGGCAGAGATCTCAGGAAGGTTGGAGATCGCAAGAACTGCAGATGCTGAAGTCAGAGTCAATACAGCGTGGAGCTCAAGGAACAGGTCAGGCAGCATCAGAGGTGCAGGAAAGTTGACGTTTCGGATTGGGACCGTTCATCAGGACTGGGGACGGACAAGGGAGCTGGGAAATAAATGGAGGGAGGAGGGGATGGGGCTGGGGAAGGTAGGTGGGATGGTGATAGGTGAGTGCAAGTAGGGAGTGGTGGGGATTGGCCAGTGGGATGGGAGGGGCAGATAAGTGGGAGAGAAGATGGACAGGTGGTGTCAGGTCAAGGAGGTGGGGATGAGAAGGAGGGTTGGACATGGGATTAGGCCGGGAATGAGGAGATTTTGAAAATGGTAAAATCCACCTTTAGGCTATTGGGCTGTAGGCTCCCAAGGTGGAATATGAGGTGTTGTTCCTCCAGTTTACATATGGCATCATTGTGACAGTGGATGAGGCCCAGGATACACATATCACCAAGGAAGGGGGAGTTAAAATGGTTGACAACCTGAAGGTGGCGTTGATTATAGCAGATGGAGCGCAAATGCTCAGTGAATCAGTCACTGAGTCTGCGCTTCGTTTCACCGATGTAGAGGAGACTACTTTGGCAGCAATGGATACAGTAGACCAGGTTGAAGGATGTACAGGTGAACCCCTGTCAGATTTGGAAAGTTTGTCTTTGGCCTTGAATGAGGGTGAGGGGCGAGGTATAGCACCCCCTGCAGTTGCAGGGAAAGGTGCCGGGGGTGGTGGAGTTGGTCAGGAGTATGGAACGGACGAGGAAGTTGCAGAGTGAGCGGTCCCTACAAAAGGCAGATCGGGCTGGGGAAGGAAATATCTTTTTGGTAATGAGGTCAGATTGCAGGTGGTGGAAGTGGCGGAGGATGATGTTTTCGATGCGGAGTTGGTGGGGTGGTATGTAAAGACAAGGGGGGGATCTCTCCTTATTTTTGTCAGGGGGAGGAAGTTTGAGGGCAGAAGTGTGGGAAATGCAAGAGATGCGGTTGAGGGCATTTTTGATCACTGGGGTGGGGACGGGGGTGCAGGTTGGGTTGAGGGTGGTTGGTGGTGGTGTGCAATGTTGCAGTCCTTAAGTAGGAGGACACCCTGGATGTCCGGGAGTAGAACGCTCCATCTTGGGAGCAGATGTGGTGGAGGCAGATGAATTGGGAGTGAGGGATCGCATTCTTGCAGGTGGGTGGGTGAGAGGAGGTGTAGTCAAGGTAGCTATGGGAGTCAGTAGGTTTGTCGGACATGGAGACAGAGGGGTCCAGGAAGGGGAGGGAGGTATAGCGAAAAAATACATATACCTTGACCTATAATGGAAACATAGCTTTCTGTGTTCAATTCCCGCATAAAAAATAACATTCCATTAGATGTTCTAAATACTTTATTTGCTCAAATGGTGGAGTATTCTTTGGACCACACTTTACTAGCAAAACTTTCGAACTTTTGTCACATTGCTTCCCATCTACATCACCCCACATTTGAGCCTCTGGTCACCCACCATGACATTCCTGGCACGACTTCCCCTGCAAAGTGGAAATCAACAACTTGACTGTTGATTCTTGACTGTTATTACTCTTTTCTTCTTTTTCCCATTTCCTATATATTTAGAAAGTTAAAAAGGAGCAGAGGAAGAAAATGAAGAAATCGTTTTATCTTGCTTCTGCTCTAGTTGGAAGATTAGAAGTTCATTCCTGGAGACACCACATGACATCACAGTTCCCCAGTGGGTATTTATTGCTTGGACTCAATCGTTTGCATTTGAGATATTTTATTTGAAACTTGATATTAGCGCAGTCCACAGTTTAACATGACTCTGGAAACCTGAACGAGTTGAGGTTTGTCCAGAGCCTGAGCTACATGTGTGCATCAGCCCTGCACTCGCCTGAGTAAGTTAGTCATGGCCACGTCAGAGGCTTCACTTAACAGCAGAGACAACAGGAAGAACTGGCTTTGCCCCGCCCACATGTTTGTTAGCTGCTGGGATTATTCATAAACATTGACTCGGAAATTCCACTCGGTCTGAACAGTTCGTCGTCTGGGGAAAAAAAAAGTTGACAATTCAGAATTGTGATCTTCCAAGATTCATAGTGAGACCATTCAGCCCATCAAGTCCATACTTGTTAAAGTGAACCAGATGCATATAAGGCAGTAGGATCCTTCTCACCCTTAATCAATCGCTATAAAATCAGTAATTCACTTTATTCATTTCACAAATGCATATTCATTATTATTGTTATTCATTATTATTAAATGATAAATATTCGTATGATTGTTGGCTCCACTTTCAAATCAATCTTGGTGCAACAAAACTGAAATTGCTGGAACCATTAAGTGGGTTCAGCAGGTCTGGACTGAAACTTTATGGAAAGGTTAAAGTTTTGTCCCTTTTTTCTTAGTGGGCCTGCCTGAAAGCTATTAACATTTTCAATTCATATTGATGTTACCACTTCTCGTGTCTCACTTGTGTGGACACAATTATCCTTCCTCTGAATGCCTCTTATCAGATCATTAAAATAAGCACATTCTTTAAATAAACACAACTTGCTGGAGAAACTCAGCAGGTCTGGCAGCATCTGTGGGGTCAAAGCAGAGTTAACACTTCGAGTCCAGTGACCCTTCTTCAGAACTCTGTTTTTCGTTTCTTATAGATCTCTAGCATCCACAGTTCTTTGTTTTATTTTAAGCAAATTAGTGCCACAGCTGTTTACACAGAGTTCTGAACTTAAAACAAAAACAAAACATGCATTAGCTTCGTAACAAGCAAAGATGTTGAAAACATAGAGGATGTAAACCAGACTATAACGTGAGGGGGTACTAGGAACTGCAGATGCTGGAGAATTTGAGATAACAAGGTGTAGAGCTGGATGAACACAGCAGGCCAAGCAGCATCAGAGGAGCAGGAAGGCTGACGTTTCGGGCCTAGACC